TTACGTACGCGTTGAGGCGGGAATATCCGTGAGGCACGGAGAGTGCTGCCGCTAAAGAAAGCGCCTGTTAAAAACTGAGAGGATGGAATTGGGTTTTTTAGAAAAAACAACCAAAAAAAAAAAAAAACCCGACACTGTAATTTCCCTTTCATTACCCTGGTTTGCTGGCTTCCAAAGCGATGCGCGCGTTCTCAGCAAAAATCCACGATCTCAGGAATAGAAAAAAAAGGTGTGGATTTTTGTTCTGTGTTCTTGCAGATTTTCAGTTAAAAAAAAAAAATCAGCCTTTCAGTTCTCCCTTGTCCAGTGTAAACACTAGGTGTCTGTGTGAGGCTTCGCATTCAGGCCGGTGAGCGTCTTGCACAAGGCTCTGCTGTGCCTGCGCCACCCACCGCAGCCGTGTTTCTGGCCCGCGTTGTTGGGTTGCCAGCAGCCGTCGGAGGTTCAGCCGGTTTGGGGTGAGTGGGCGTTAGGTGCCCTGGGAAGTTCCTCGGGGGCAGCGCTTCCCCTCCGAGACCTCAGCGCACAAACTGGGCGCGAGCGCAGCTCTTCACTGTTTAACTTCTCCAGCTAATGGTCAGCGCAGGAAGAGGATCCTAGTGCAGACATGAGTTGCTGAAAGTACTCTTTAGCAACCTCTCTGTAACAGGTCTAGTTGGGGTGAAAACTGCTCAAGTGGGAGAGTGCTGTCTGTTGTCTTTGAAAGAGATCCCCTCCACGCAGGGCAGGGCAGTTCGTTCTTTTTGACGCTGGATGTGCAGCTGCTTTCTCGGAGATGAGCTAACTTTCCTAGAAGACCAGGTTATTGATTGGAACGGCTGACTCCCACGAGAACTTCCGTAGAGGAGGGCTGCGCCGGGGCCGGGGCGGTGGGGAGACAAATGGGAGACATCACTGCTCCTCAGAAGAACTGACGTTTGAAGTAGGAAGAGATCTAACGCTATGTGCAAGCAGGGATTTATTATTTGTACTGGGTGACAGTGCAGTTGTTTTCTGCATGAGTTAATATTTGATGATTATTGTGCAGATAGTGAGATATCTCAGTTCTCAAGTGTATTGCTTTAATGTAGTATTTTGCATATGTCTTTTTATGGTTCTCGGTAAGATTTCAGTAGAACTGTTCATATGATTTTAAGTCTCTTGTTGAAATCAGCGCTTATAGCTTGAATGTTTTGGTGGAGAATCTTAAGGATTTTATCAAAAATCTGAAATATATTTCCAGGTATATACAGTGCTATTCACGTGGCTATCTCAGTGTTATCATGGCAGTATTGAATTTCCTTGTTGCTCCACAGCAATTAATAGATTATTCGGTAAAGGGTAGGGCTTTTGTCCAAAAAGAATAAGTGCAAAAATTTAGCTATCAAAACGTGTTATTCTTTCCTTTTTTCCATATTTGTTTTCATTTTGTTTCTACTCTTTCAGTGCTCATGACCTACGTTTAAGCTTGTAATATGGCATTTCATCACTTGAGTGAGTTTCACAGTCCGTTGTTTTCTTACTGTCAAGGTGACTGTGTTCTGGGACAGATGAATGGAAGTCCAAGCCAGCAAGGGCCAGTGCTGCACCTAGCATTTCCAATCAGACAGGCGTTAGGCACGTTCTAGTTAACCACTAACATGTAACGCAGTCAGTAAGAGAGGCCCGGATGGGATCCAGAAATACTCTGTAAAATAAAGTCCACAGATCTCGAGAGTGCAGCACTCTCATATCCCATATCTGATTTTATGGCAGTTGCTTGATAAACATTACGGGGAGATATTGGACATTTCTTCAGTTCTGTGGTTTATTCTTTTTCTTCACATCATATGAAAAGTTTTTGTAGCAGTCAGACACTTCCTGAAGATCTTACTCGGGCCAAAAGGAGCTGGTGAAAGTGAATTCTAGGTATACAAATTAGTTGTATGAAAATAGCAGCTTTCAAAACAAATAAACGCAGGATATCCTTTCCAAAATTAAACATACTGGGATACATATCCTTCAGTGTACTGAACCAAGGGGCTTTTGTCTTTTTTTTCTTTTTTAAGAACAAAATCCAGTTTCTCTCAGCAAGCTTGGGCTGAATGATTACAAAAATAATACATAGCAACGCTTTCATGCAGAAAAAGGTAAAATGGATGTTGAAAATTGTGCCGTTTCTTAGTGTCCTCAGACTGAGAGAGGCAACGTCGTGTGATGAAAGGCTCTTTTCACACCACACAGAAAAGGCTGTTTTGCAGGTGAACACAAAGATCCAGTATATGTCCACAGTTCAGTAGCCACAAGATTTTCATTTAGAACATTTGTCTACTGTCTAGACAAAATAAAAAAACCCAGATGTCCTCTAGTATGCAGACATTTTATGACACTGCACAGAACTGGACTGAACTATCTGGGTTTCATGTTTGAGTTTCCTGAGAGATTATGAATAACACTCAGGTTTCAGTGAGCTGTCTAGAACTCATGGGTGAGGGAAGAGAGGAATCAGAAGAGTTTTCATTACTAAAATCTCAGCAAATGAACTCATTTAAGTAACTCACTACACATAACAAGTAGTCTGGAGGCGAGTTTTTTCCCCCAGCTTTAACAGTATTGATTTGATGAGCTTTGGATGAAAAGATTCTTGATTTGTAACGGTGTGCTTGCAAAATGAATAAAACTAAGCAAATATAAATACAAAGTGTGTGTATGCTGTATACTGTAGACACATGAGCTCGTACGCTCTTAGGCACTTTATCCCCACTAGGTAGTATTTGCTTTTTATGTATGTATGTGCTATAAATAATGCCCGAGTGGGAGTTTGCAGTACCATCAGGGTGGGTGATATCAGTTGTCTGCAGTATAGGGATGGGTGCTGGGGGAGTTCTGCTTTCTCTCTGACCTTGATCTTTGTGTTCTCTTGGGTAAGTAGCTTCTTGCTGTGTACGTTTCCTCATTGTAAGGTAAAGATCATAATTCTTCATACAGCTCTTCTGAGCCCATAAATATTCTAAAACACATAAAAGATACTGGACTGGAAGGCGTTTGCCAAGGAAAGTGTGTCTTTATAAGGCATATATAGGTATGTGATATAGCCTCCTGCCCATGCAGATGTCTTTAAGATAGAAGCTTGGAATAATTAAGGACTCAGGTAAGCAACGCTGAAGTTTTCTTCTCTTTCGTTCGGCTATACTAGGTGATTGACTTGTATAAATAAGAGTAAACAAGGAGACAAATAAAAGCGTTCAAAAATATACCCCTCAAAACGTAAATGAATTACAGTTCTGCGTAGACTAATATTTGGATCCCAAACTCATGGCTTGCTAAATTATAAGGGCCAGGACCAAAAAGAGGACATAGGCAAGAGAAATACCAGGCAGTATGGATTCAGTCTCCCCCAGCACATAACAGAGCACAGGTGTCATGCTGATGAGAAGGCTGTACAGACCTGAGCTCGGGCGGAAGGTCCATGCCTGCTGATTCTGTGGCGTTATCTACAATTTTGTGCCAGGTTGGTCTCTGTTTAAAATACCATTCCCTTTCCGTAGCAGTCCAGTGGCAGAGCTGGTAAAAAGTGAGTGGGTTCAGTTATTTGAAAGGATATGGGAACTTATCCACCAGAAGGAGACTTGCTGTCTCTGTGTTTGTAGTGAATGAAAACACCTTTCTGGAGTCCCAGAGCGGAGCAGGAGCTAAGATAAGAACACCTACCTGTAGTATTTCTGTTGGCTACCTATAGACGTACATACAGTGTGTTGACTTTAGATAGCCCTCTGCAAGCTGCAGCCTAGTAGCCCAGTGCTGGGAGTGTAGGCCCCATATAAGTGTTCCTGACTCACTCACTGTGAGCACCCAGCACCTCGTGTTCCTGGATCGAACCCTTACAGAATAGAAGAAATGGGTGACTGACCCAGTTCAATACAGTTGTCAAGTCCAACAGCCTTTTGTTACAATCGAGCAGGTACCTCAGGCTTGAACTCCCGCCAAACTGTGGCAATGATTGCAAAACAGAGGCTCTAAAGAGAAGTATGCTACAGTGCAAGGTGGAAGAATCGCACTACTAAGGTTGTATTGCTTTCTAGTTGGAAGGATATTGTAGAAATATCCTAAATATTTTTATCTGGAAAGACATGCCAGTCTAAACGTGAAATGTTGCAGCTGCTTCTATTTTCATGTCAGTTTGTCTAATACGTTTAGTATCACACGTTCAGAGTGTTTCAAGACAGTAGCTCCTTTGGTTGTGTTTTCATTCTGACTTGAAAAGCTGAAAGCAGTTCACCTCTCAGTCTGAACTAAAAGGCTGTTAGAGACATGACTGTCTGCAACCATTGTATAAGGCTGGTGCACTGCACTTTGGCCACCTCCATACGCCAGCATTCAAACCTAGAAGGAAGGAATGGAAATTACCCACTGGTCAACAGGAGCAAGGTCTAATAGAAGTCATTTCCTCTCTGCATAACTCTGCAGACCAGTGTCTTGTAATGAACTGTAGGAGGAACAGTTAGTATAAGCAACACTCTTAAGCTCATTTCTTTCACTTCTGCCCTCACGTATTTTCCAGAATTTTTCGGAGAGTCATTCGGAAGTAATAGCAGCAATGAATGTTCTGTAGCTACTTGTGAAGTGTTAAGTGAACATGTTTTGAGAGGGAGTCTAACGGTATTCTCAGCATGGCTAGCTGAAATACAGTTTTGACGATTAATTCAGTAGTAGACAAATATTAATTTGGTTGATGTTTGCACTGCACCAGAGAAGGTGTAATTGCTAGATAAATGCTGTGTTGCTATTAGTGCTCAATGAATGCAAAGGCAGTGTTCAAAAGAGAAGCCTAGGACTTAGGCTCTTCAGAGTTTGGCTGCTCTCTCTGATGTTGACTCCACTGTAGCAGCAGGCAAATGCCTTTCTGGCTGAATTTTACCATCTTTAACATACTACTCTTAATAGGTATTATGGCTGAAAGGGGATTTCCTGGAATATTCTGGATGTTTTCTGGAAGCTGAAAGTGCTATATGAAGGCTCGCAGTTGCTCTTGTTATCTTCAGGTCTCATTAGGGCTTATCTCATCAAGCCTTTGCTCTTTCACGTTCAGGAAATATATTCCTATTATTAAACGTGCTTGGATATTATCACCTTGTTTTCCTGTATCTAGACAGCCTATACAAAAGCACATGTCCTGGCAGAAATGTGCTGCCTACCTTACATAGTCCTCATGAACGTGCCTTTCATTTGGCTGTTTTCTTTAGCTGGACATTGTTACTTGAAACCTGGCTCCTAAAAAGCATGAAGAGTGTTCCTGCATTATATCATTAGCAGAAATATAGCCTTTGTATAAAGATTGCAGCTTCTTGAGTAACAAAGAAATCTTTACAGTATTTGGCAGTTATTACCCCTGCATTTGAACGAACGTATAAATAAGATTTAGACCAAGCTGTACAATGCTAGAAATATACTAGTTGTAGTTAATTTTCAGCAACTGAAGTTAACTGTTGGACTACAAAAAACCCTGTGCCTATTTTTGTGTGGTAGAACAGACTGCAAATAGTCAGTGATTTTGTCAAGGAAGGTTCTCCGAGAGACATTGCTTGCATTCTTTCCCATTTCACTACCTTACCAGCAGCAGGTTTATTCTACACAATATGAGCATCCCTGTTCTAGGCCAGGTGATTCCTTGCTTACCTGGGTTGTCATGGGGAAGCTCGCTCTCAGTTTACCTGGAAGTTGTTTTCTTTGGGCTTATATTACTCTTTTAGCCCTTACTTTTCATGAATACTAATTTTAATCCATTAAAAAAGCCTCAAATAGCACATTCATTTATGATTTAACAGAAATGTTCCTTCTTTGTTTTGTAAGGGAGTCCTCAAGATGGCAGCAGTGGTAGAATTCAGCAACATCCATTCAGCGTCTAAAATGCCAGAAGAAGATGATGCTAAACACAGTTTTCATCACAGAATGTTCTTGGAACCTCAAGAGAGGAAGAGGAACGTGAAGGCTCTGGTGGTTCAGCAAGCGAAGAAAACGTGCAGCTGCACTCCAGCCAAAGTTAAAGACTGTGTTTTCAGTCTCCTTCCTGTCTTGCAGTGGCTTCCCAAGTACAAACTGAAAGAGTATCTACTGGGAGACATAATGTCTGGCTTGATTGTGGGGGTCTTGCTAGTCCCACAGTCGATTGCCTATTCTCTCCTGGCTGGACAGGACCCTATTTACGGCCTTTATACATCCTTTTTTGCAAGCATTATTTATTTCATATTTGGAACCTCCCGCCACATCTCAGTTGGCATATTTGGTGTACTTTGTCTGATGGTGGGACAAGTGGTGGACCGTGAGGTACAAAGAGCTGGCTATGACTTAGAGCCAGCTGCTCTTAGTGTCCATGCAGATACAGGAACATACATAAACACCACCATTTCTCCTGTGAATCAGACATCACGACAGCCATTCTGTGATAAAAGCTGCTATGCAATTACCGTGGGAGCCACCATAACCTTCATAGCTGGAGTTTATCAGGTAAGAGGAGGTGGACAAACTGCTGTTTTGTGGAAATAGTTTTAATTCTTCTTCGGGTGATTGTCCCTATGAACAGTCTGCTGGGGTTGCACGTGTCCTTAATCTGCATCCCAGAGGAATGGGCACATGGAGGACAGGAGGACTCCAGTTACTGTGGTGTAAGAAACACCCTTTTCTCCTCTCCTTATGTGGTCTTAGTCATAGCTATTTCCTCAGACCTGCAGAACATGTGCACAGGAGAGTGATGCAGCTTTTAATAGCATTCTGTGCTTGTAGTAGTATTCTGTTATGCACCATAAGGAGCGTTACAGAGTACTGCCAGACAACACTTGCTACTCCCACAGTACGTCTTCCTAACTCTGACTTGAAACTCTTTTTTCGTTGGCTTATATCAGGGCATTGGATTGGGGTAGAATGTGGTGTGTCAGCTTTCAATTCTTCACTTCCGTGATCTGGCTTTTCTTCTATCAAAAAATAATCTGAACTGTGAAGCTACCTCCAGTTTCCTTTTATTTGGCACTCTTACGCTGTACTTGTAAAGCTTGAATGTTTGCCCACTCAAAGCCAGCACAAAGCCCTTGTTTGAAAAGGATACTACCGACATAATAAAACACGTTTGAAATAAAACTGTTCATTATTAGCATATTTAATATATTTTTAAATACTATTTTACCACTCCTTCCTTTATACCACTCCTTCCTTCCTTTACCACTCCTTTACTTCCCAGAATTCACTGCTTATGTGCTGAAATTAAAGTAGGCATCTATGTTTTTAGAGTGTCAGTCATTAACCAGGGGAGATTTAATTTTAACAATATGGCAGGGCTATTTCAGTTCAGCAGTTCACATTCATTCGTTTCCACAGTGACCTCCATAGTAATATCTATTCAGATTGTAGATTGTCATTTGTTTCTACAGTGACATTCATAGTGATATTTGTTCATGTTGTAGAGGAGAGGAAACATATCTATGATACTCTAAAACATTGTTTTTAGACGCAACCTAGGGCTTTGTCTTGTACTGCAAGTTAGTGCTGAGTAATTGCAGTTGTATTCTGGAACTGCTGTCCTAGGATGGAGGCTGTGTTTCATCACTATAGGATGTACAGAGTTTTGGAGCTGTGAATTGTATTTAATATTGTTTGCAAGTACAAGTAAGCTTTTTAAATGAAGAAGTCAGATTACTTCATCTTCAGTCACTCTGAATGTGATGTATGTTCTACTAGCTGTCTTTCTGGCTGCCAACCAATGGATCTTCACGCACTCAAAATATTTTTTTATTGGAAATCCCAACCAAAATTGCATTCACTCTGTATCGGAAACTTTACAGTCAAATAGTAAAAACCAAGCCTGCTCACCTCAGTTGCCTACACCCTAACTAGGTAAGAGTTTTATTGTTAATGTTGTTTTCTAGCCAGGAAAACTTTGAATTAACTGAGTTGTCAGGGCTGTGCGGGAACCTTTTTTAGGGTTTGGAGCTGATCCCATGTCTAGTCAGTCCAGGCCCTAAACTTCCCTTATCTTTGGTAGTGTTTTGCAAGTTCTTAGGAAGTTTCCAACAATGATTCTAACCTTTTTCTTTATTTACCATAACTACCTAATGGGATATATCAAGGTGATGCTAATTAAGAGTTTACTACCTGTAAATTGTGGCCTGAAGTCTTCAGATGACAGTGTAGACCGCCCAGCTGGCCAGCTCAGGGAATTAAAGGTTTTTAGCATTCTCTGTCTTAATGAAGTGCGTGTTCCATTTAGCGTAAAGGTTGTTGGGGGGGAAAGGGCATTTATCAGTTATGAAAAGGCGTCTGTAAGGTAGGTATCCATAAAGCCAGTCATTCCCTTGGAAGAGCATCAGCGATTTGTCTATTCAGTGAGCGTTAATAAAAGTTAATGGCAAGTGTCTTTAAAAATTTGTTTCTATTTATAAAATAATCTGCACCACAAGAATTTGTAGCACGTACACTTTATGAAGCAGATAAACCAAGCTTTATGCAGTGCAAACTGGAACTATTGTCAGCTTTATTTCATTGCAGGCTGTGAGCTCGAGTGCAAGACAGACAAAAGCCCGGGTTCTGGATTCCTGCAAGGTTCATGGAGATTGTGACAACTGGAGAGAGAAATGGCAAAACTAACCAACATTTCAAGCTTTTTTTCCCTAGGTTTCTTTTTTGCCAGTTAAGGGAAGTAGAAGCTATTGTTTACAGTTGAACTAATAAGCAAACTATAAACACCCGTTCGGAGTATGAAGACCTCTAAAAAAAGTCTGCTCTGTATTAGAAATGCATTTAGGTCTGATGCACCAGGAGCAATGGAAAGTTGGAGCTTTTTAACGCGCAGACCACTCCTTGTCCTCCAAGGCCATATATGGTGCTTTTTTAATCCCACCTCCCTCAGAACCTCACAAGGATGACATCTATAAGTTTTGTATTGTAATCCGTTTTGTGTGGTTGATTCCTTTCAGGTGGCCATGGGTTTCTTTCAAGTGGGCTTTGTCTCAGTGTACCTCTCCGATTCATTGCTCAGCGGATTTGTCACAGGTGCCTCCTTTACCATCCTAACCTCACAAGCCAAGTATCTCCTGGGCCTAGACATTCCACGGAGCAGTGGCATTGGCTCCCTCGTAACCACATGGATAAACATCTTCAGAAACATACACAAGACCAACATTTGTGATCTCATCACCAGCTTCTTATGCCTTCTTGTTCTCGTCCCAAGCAAAGAGCTTAATGAACGCTTTAAATCCAGGCTTAAGGCTCCAATACCAGTTGAATTAGCTGTGATTGTGGTAGCTACTTTGGCATCTCACTTTGGGAAGCTAAGAGAGAATTATGGCTCGAGCATTGCTGGACACATCCCAACAGGGTTTCTCCCGCCTCACCCTCCAGACTGGAGCCTGATCCCTAGTGTGGCTTTGGATGCTCTCCCCATAGCTATTATTGGCTTTGCCATCACTGTGTCCCTCTCAGAGATGTTTGCCAAGAAGCATGGTTACACTGTGAGGGCCAATCAAGAGATGTATGCCATTGGTTTCTGCAACATAGTTCCCTCTTTCTTCCATTGCCTTACAACAAGCGCAGCTCTTGCCAAGACTCTTGTCAAAGAGTCCACAGGTTGTAGGACACAGGTATCTGGCATGATGACTGGTTTGGTCATCCTGTTAGTCCTTCTTGTGATTGCACCTTTATTCTATTCCCTTCAGAAATGTGTCCTTGCTGTCATAACCATTGTAAACCTCAGAGGAGCCCTGCGGAAGTTCAAGGACCTGCCCAAAATGTGGCATTTGAGCAAAGTGGACACAGTGATCTGGTTAGTTACTATGGCATCCTCAGCACTCATCAGTACTGAGATTGGTCTTTTGGTTGGTGTTTGCTTCTCTATGCTCTGCGTCATTTTTCGAACTCAGAGACCAGAGGCACCGCTGCTTGGCTGGGTGGCAGAGTCTGAAACATATGAATCCCTGTCTGCTTACAAGAACTTGCAAACCAAGCCAGGCATCATGGTGTTCCGTTTTGAAGCGCCCCTCTACTACATCAACAAAGAATGCTTTAAATCCACCCTGTACAAGCAAACTGGAGTTAACCCAGTCTGGGTAAAGGCAGCAAAGGAAAAGGCAGCAAAGAGAATGCTTAGAGGGAAAGAGGTAGATTCTGGTGGCAACCAGACCAGCATCTCGGTGGAACTTGTCTCTGAACCCCTGGGGTTTCACACAATAGTGATTGACTGTTGTGCAATGCAGTTCCTGGACACGGCAGGAATACGTACGCTCAAAGAGGTCTGCAAGGACTACGGAGAGATAGATGTCCAGGTGCTACTGGCCCAGTGCAATCCTTCTGTGAGGAGTTCCCTGATCCGGGGGGAATTCTTTAAAGAGGGCGAGGACCACCTTCTCTTCCACAGTGTGCATCAGGCTGTGGACTTTGCATTGGGTGCGCAGGAGCACAACAGGAGCTGTGCTTCTAAAATCTAGTTGTGGGAAGGCAGCAATTATGAGTGGGTCCCCCCACAAGATGGGTGTGGGTTGATATATTTGCATATGCGTTATATATGCACTCAGACAGATAAAAAGAGGCAGGCTTGTTGTTAATGCATTGGTTACTACCAGTACGTTTTGATGCTTTAATTTGCCTGCCGAGTATAATGAGTCAATAGGTGGTACTAAATGAAGGCAATTTTTAACTTGATCATGGCCGATCTGTGAACCTAAGAGTTTACGTACATATGTTCATCTCATTTCTCTTCTCTCTTGAACTTTCCATGCCCCAGCTGCCCTCTGAGTTTAGACTATCAGCATTGAGGTCTTTATTACAAAACTGTCTTTCTAGAAGGGACTCGATTTTGAAGCTGTCCGTCCTCCCTGGCTAGTTGGATAACATATGGCAGTTCATTTCTTGTCCCTAGTTCTGGCAATACTCTTCCACACAATCACACCCTCATATTGTCTAAGGAATGACTGACAGGGACTGTTTGCTCTGGAGTGATTGTTAGTGATTTTGTTGCCTTCCTGATTTTGAGACAGAATCTGAAAATGGAGCAACAAGTTCCATGTTAAAGAGTAGCTTATAACCACCTGTCACCTCTAGATGCTTTGTCATTGTCTTCTGACAGTATAATGCAGCTAGATCCATGGGGGCATAGTTATTTAAATTTCTACCCAGATCTTTACGTGCCAGGAAAGTTTGCCTCTTTAGCTCAAATTCCATTGGATAATCTGGACTGATTTTTAATCAGAGGTGATTCAGAAGTCTGATTCATGCTTATGGTTAATCATTTGTTTTCCTAATATTTAGTAGCTCTTTAGAATTGCAGATGTTAGATACAGAAAATCTCCAATTCATGAGTTTCAGCGAAGCAAGACAGTGCCTTGCAGCCAGTTTTATATGCCAGGTAGACAGAAGCATGGGCATGAAAATGAAAAAGGCCTAATGGACTATCCAGCCTCTCTAAATTTGTCAGTGATGTCACACAGATTTCACGTGTTGTTGAATACAAGTGTCATTGAACATAGAGCCTTTATGCATGCCCTGTCGTGATCTTTATGCAGTGAGGCTGGACAGGCCAAGAAATACAGGCATTAGAGGAGCCAGAGAAAATTCTTCAGCTGAAAGTTACTTCACTGTATTAGTGTAAATAAAACTTTCTAGTTTGCTTTTAAATTATCCAGAATAATGAAGAATGCCTGTTTTTCATGCTATAATGCATGAAAAGCACAGTGCATAAAGCACTGAATAGGAAAAGGTTCTCTTTTCTAATAGCAACGCGTACAATTATGAAGGCAGAATTGAAGGATCAACATTTTTTACTGAGTCCTAGCTATACATAGCCCACAGTACATACCTGGAAGATTATGGTTCTCCCAGAGAAATTTACGGTCTGACTTGTCAGTTCTTCATAGCTTTTAAAAGAGAAAAGGTGTGGTACACAGACAATATTGTTATCCGTAATAGCTCAGAAATCTTCAGTCAGGCATTAGAAAGTCATAAAATGGAATGTGAATCATGAAACATTTTCTAAATAGAAGTATATTTTGAGAGGGTTTTTTTTTTTTTGGAGCTAGGACTAGTAGCTTTTCTCTTCTTTCTGTGAAAGCTGAAATGGTCATGCATGATTTCACTTTAGGAGTTAGGACCTCAAGAGGAGCAATAGATAGCAGAAGGATGAATCCCAGTAGCTGACAATCTTTATATGTTAGCTTGATATTATTACATTTTCTAGGGCATCATAGAAGCAAATAGAAGAAATACTGGGGGGGCGGGGAGGTTGGCCATAGCATATACTAAGAAGGTAACAGACTTACTGTTGTAGCTTTGCAAGAGGAAATGACAGATCTCCAAATATTAGAGAAAAGTGAAGCTTCTGCAGTATTCAGGAGCCTAAATATTTTTCTTTCTCAGCCTGAAGGCATGTTGACATAAGGAAATGAATCCAAAATAGCCACTGCTGATTTTTTTTTTTTCCTTTCTGCAATAACTTCCTGTGCCAACTTTTTTATTCTGTGCTAATTCAGTTTGACTAATTGCAATTACTGTTTTAGTATTACCGAAGTGGATTAGCCTAAGCCATATAAAAGCATGTTTTTGAGGTGGAATCACCTTTCAGCACTGTTTGCTCACAGTACCAAAAGGCATCATTAGAATTTAAGTTTTAAACAAAAGCCTGACCATCATTTTAAACACTAATTTTAACAGTAGTGTTTTTCAAGAGAGCAGAGTAGTGCTAGAAGTAGTGCTCTCTTCTAAAAGTCCTGTTGGGAAATTAAAATACAGCAGACAATGAGCAGTACACCTTGTCACTGTACATGTTCTGCCAAGCAGCAGCTGCTCCTTTTCCATCCCCTTGCCAGATGTTCTCAGCCCGTCAGTCACAGCTCAGTCATGTACAGCTGAGAGGGAATGAAAGAGTGAGTAGCTGGTCCAGTGGACCAGGAGACGTCCTCTAAGGAAGATCAGGCAGGGGTGGATAGAAGTAAAGTAGAATTGCTTGGGGTGATTCTTTCCCCTTTACACTCAAGACTTTTCTCTTTCCTGTACCCTTTCCACATAGCCAATTGGAGATTCCTTGCCCTATGAGCTTGTGTAGCCAAATTCTAACTAAGAAGGTGCAAACAGTAATTATTTAGCAACCCCCTTTTTTTTTCAAATCCAAGGTATGAAGGTAGGATTAGCAATGCTACTTCCAAGAGTGCAGGCTTTCCACAGCCAGCAGGATGCTTGCTTGCAGCTCTTGGGTATTTGCATAAAAGCACTATAAAACAGTCATGAACTGGATATCAAAGAATTAATTTAGATTGCAGTTAAAAGCTACATGGTAGTGATTTATGTTTCGCTAGAGCACATTTTATTTGGCCACTGTGCTGTTTGCGCAGTCACTAATGGCAATTTACCCCTGAATTCAATTTCAAGCAAAACACAAAAAAGCCGTATTAAAATGCAACAGCCAAAGTAACCAGCCAACCAAAAGATCAACTTTTTATATTTCTAATATAATGTCCAGAGGTCATAGCTTATGCTCTCTATTAATGCATACAGCCCCCGTTAGAAGGGAGCAGAAATAAATACCAGTTACTGGAGCATTCAGTAGAATAGTCCTTAGGCGTTAACTAAAGATTAGAGCTTGTCATGATTGGAATATCTTAAAACAGTGGTTTGCAGCCTTCCTTATAGGCCCAGTACTAATTTTTTAACAGAGGCGTGAATCCAAGCAAATTTAAGCCTACTGGCAAGAAGCACACTTTTTTTGAATATCTTTTATGGACCTTTTAGAAGTAATGCAATTTCACATTTAGGACTCAGGGACCACATATTGAAAATTGTTGCCCTAAAGAATTTGTTTTAAAAAGAAATTTTAGATTTTTTTTTTTTTGGCTGATGTATGCGGCAGGTATATGTGTCCAGTTGTGCCTTTGTGATGTGCCTGTTTCTGTCCTGGAAAGGACTGTTCTGTACAATTTTAAATAACTAATGGCACTCAAGTGCCAGATTTCAGAAGGAGAAGTCTGCCATACCTACTGTCTTCTAGCCATTTCGTTATCCTCACTGCAAAGCTTAATTTGTGATCTACTGGAAGACGAAACCCCCAAATGATCATTTTTGTAAGCATATGGGAATATTCCTCTGTCAAAAGCAGTGACATTAATGCCAAGTGCAACCTTCAGAACTCGGGGCCAGAGTGGCAGATCGTATAAACTAGTTGAACTCTGTTGACTCCATTCCCAAGTGTCCTAATCCAGCGATTATCAGTTTAAATGAGGAATTAAGAGATCATTAGCACGGTCATTAATGATAACAACACAACATTATGGAAATTAATACTTACAGTCTCAGCAATGCTCTTGCCAAATACTAGTCACTCTTTTAACATTTAATGCTGCTCTATATAGTAGTTTCAATTGCTCCTAATGTGGCTGTTGCATTAATAAATGATTCACTTGTGTGAATGTTTTCACACTGAAACAATTTTCAGTCCACTTTGTAAAACAGGGAAGTGTACTGCAGTGATGTACGTGGTACTTATTTTTGAATTTATAATGACATCGTAAACCTTAGTTTTCTGCAATTTAGTGATCTTGATTACGCCGTAAATCATTGCAGCACCATCTGTTATTCTCTAATGCACTACAAAATGCAGAATTCACCCACTTTGACACTTGCTTCTGTGTTTTGCTCTAAATGACATTGCGTATGATTGACTGTAAATAGAAGAATCATTGTGTCTGTATGTCTTGCTATTACCTGTGACCTGGTACTCAGTTTTGATGCCAAATCTTTTCATAAGGCTAAAGCTTCTAAACAAAGAATGTAAAACCAAACCAACCCTGTTCTGGGTTCTGAGGTTGGGAGGAGGGGATTCTGGGCAGCTGGCAGGGGAGTACCACTGTGTGTATCCCTTTCCGTGAGAGGGCAAAGTATGTGAATATGCAAGGGTTTGTGTAGATCGACAAGTAATAATGCCTTCCAGGAAAAATAAGCTAATTTAGAGATGTCTTTATTACGAGGACACTATGTATACACAGCTCTGTGCCTTTTTCCAAAATGAGCGCAATAGTAACACGGGGACCTAGTTCCTGTTCAGTGCTGCTCTATGAGTCAGTGTTCCGTGCTATGTGTAGAAGGGATTTCTGTTTTCATGCCTATTTATTTTTGTCTAATTTAATCTAATTCTGCACTTGGCTCTCCCATCCTGGAAGGCTGAGCTTCCAATATTTCTGCACTCATTCCCCATCTGGCTACAGCAATGAGCAGAAAGATTCTCCCTCTCTCTCAAGAAAGTAACCAGCAGTTTCTGCGTCTCTACTAGCTATTGCTGACTTGTGCCAAAAGACACTGAAATCCACTGGTGATGGGTCTGAAGTGCAGAGCCAAGATAGTGCAGGCAGGAGAGCATCCTGGCCATTGCACTAGGGTTTTAAGTCAGTTGATACCTGCAGCCTCCCACAGCGTTGTGCTGAGATCAGCTGTGAACTTGTGTCTGCGCTGGATCCTCAGTTTCCATTGTTGTTCAGGCTTTCCGTGGCCAAACCTTACTTGAGAAAACCAGCAATACTGCATGTCTCCTTGGGTCCAGTTCACTGCATGTCTCCTTGGGTCCTCGACTCTTTCACCTAAAGGCAATGCTGACTCCCTTTTCCCCACCATGCTTAGCTCTCTGCCACGAGCACCAGTGCTGTTGGTGCTAAGAGTTTTAAAGTAGGTTGGAGCTGAGTCACTCAATGCATTTCCAGGGTGATCCTCATTTCAGAAGTAGTGCAGAAACACCCAGGCTGGCCTTGCGCTGAGCCACACAGGTCCAGGGCTCACCTGGACTTTGCACTGGACCTCAACTCCTCTGTGCTCTCACCTCAGCGGGGAGGCACGGCTGGCCAGTAGGAAAGCACTAGTCTAGAAGAAGAGCATAGAAACTGGAGCAGGAAGAAACCCCAGGCAAATAGTTCGTTGCAGGGTATGTTCTTTGGTTTTTTGTTTTTGTTTTTTTTTTTCTTCACGCTCTTTGGAAAGATGATCCAATGACTGGGGTGAGCTAAATTTTTATTTTTAGTTTTTTACCAACATAATTATGTTAATGAAGCTGTGATGCAGATAGCAGCCATCTACTGCTAATGCAATATAAGGTGCTTTATATCTGTATAGCTTATCTTGCTTTGCTGAATCTCAATCTAGGATACCATTGTAAGACTTTTATATTGATAAACCTGTCCTCACTAAAACGGGTTTTGCGCTTTTACTATGCTGGCATAGTTAAAAGGGGCAATGCCTTTAGTGCAGATATGGCACTGTGCCTTTGCACTGTGAATAAACTTGTTAAGTCCCAAGAATTACTTGCACTTGATTATGCAGTTTGTAAGCCTTTGTATGATCAGCTGCTTACATGAAAAACTGCCTGATCTTTTCTATTCTAATAGAATTCCACCTGAAGTGGAACTAAGTTTTAAGTCTTACTTTATTTTTTAAGATCTTTACAATGCTAGAACTGAGGCCTCTGGTTAGGTAATAGGGCAGATATTTCAAATATATATATATTTATATATTTTATATATATATATTTTTGGTCTGGCCTTATATTGAAAGGTGTTCAAGATGCTAAATGTTAAAGCCCTACTCCCGCAGTAGTATCCACTTACTGGCCATAATATAAGCCCCTGATCAGCTCATCGTTTATCTTGACTACTCAAGCTTCTCTAGTTCACTTTTCAAAATCAAATTAGAAACCTTGGTTAAGTGGGCACTATTTCTAAATAGGAATAGCTAATTATAAGATTCCATTTTTGATCCCAGACTCTCTAGCCTCTTCCGTATTTCCGACCTAAATTTTTATCTGAGTGCAAACAGCTTTTTTACCCTTCAAGTTTGTGGCCCTCCCTTCCCTACTTCAAATCGGATTCTTTCTGAGCTGGAAGGCAGGTTTCGTTGCACACCTGAGAACCTCCACTCTAGCTTTCTAGTTGACTAATCATTCTAGTAGTTTTTCCCACAGTGTCAGCATTTTTCTCAGACAATTTGTAGTACTGCCCATTTCTTTTTTTATCTGACCTTTTTTTTTTCATAATTCAGTAATATCATGGACCTTATTAAAAATCTCTTTTCTTCGTGCATTTGCCTCTTATGGTAAATTGTTTTCCATATTTCTCAGTAACAGCTGCTTCTTGCTTCAAGGCAAGATGCAATTTCTATGGCAAATACCACAGCTTCCTGGGATGTTTTTGGCCTTTTTTTCATTGAGCTAAAATTGGAAATACATGTCAGTCATTAGATATGCCCCGAAAACAAATCTCTCTAGATCACCTTCTAGTTCATCTTAGGTTCCCTCTTTTTCTCTTGCACTTTCTGGGCAGCAAGGAATAAGCTCTGCGGCTCTCATAGAAATACGCCTTTTCTGGGTGGTTGAAACCCTAGTTTCTGTGAATCTTTGCCATTCGTTTGCACTGTGAAGTTATATTAGTTTTCCATTTGCTTTAGTTTTAGCCAGAAATATACACATATAAGTTTCATTCAGCTATCTTACGTGAAGGACAGCAGTTAAACCTACAAGTTTCAAGATGCTTTAACACAAGTTAATTATTAATTATTTAGTATCTAATTTAAATTGGTGGTGTAGGCTTTTAAGAGATGCACCTATTGAAATATGTATGGAACTGCTGAAATATGTTTAGCTTTATAGGATGAAATGGGAATAATTAATTTAATAGTTCACGTGTCAAAACTTTAAAGGTAACAGTTATCTAGTGATTTGTCTTGCAATTTTATAAATTTGTTCAAATGATGAATGACGAGGCATAAACATTAACTCTTGTAGGAATTGCATGTCACTGTTTTCTAATGCTTTTTTATTAATCTTTATTGATCTTATACAGATGGATATTT